ACAGCAAAGCGGTGAAGCGGCATGAGAACGGCACAGCGGTAGAACGGCAGAGCGGCATAGAGGCAGAGCGGTTGAGCGGCAAAGCGGCCGGCCGACCGGCAAAAATTTTGAAATGCTCCCTAATACATCTCCATTTGTCAATACAGATGTTATGTGCCGATATCGTCCATTATTCATACTAGCAGTCGTTGTCCAAGTTCCTGTTAATGAATCATACAGCTCAGCACTACTTGAAGGAATGCCAATCCATCCGCCAGTAACTAACACATTTCCATTTGTTAATACAGATGCTGCATGCCAAAATCGTGCATAATTCATGCTACCAGTCGTTGTCCAAAATCCTGTTGATGAATCATACAACTCAGCACTAGTTGAACCAACAGCACCGTCATATCCACCAGCAACTAATACTTTTCCATTTGTTAATACGGATGCTGTGTGTGAATTTCGTGCACCATTAATACTACCAGTCGCTGTCCAAGTTCCTGTTATTGGATCATACAAATCACTACTATTTAAAAGTCGACTACCACTACCGTAACCACCAGTAACTAATACTTTTCCATTTGCTAATACGGATGCTGTGTGCTCAGATCGTACATAATTCATATTGCCAGTCGTTGTCCAAGTTCCTGCTGATGGATCATACAACAAAGCAGTATTTAGAGTAGAACTACCACTATATCCACCAGCAACTAACACTTTTCCATTTGTTAATACGGATGCTGTGTGGTGATATCGTGCAGTATCCATACTGCTAGTCATTGTCCATGTTCCTGTTGATGGATCATACAATTCCGTACTATTTAGATATGCACTGCCATTATATCCACCAGTAACTAATACTTTTCCATTTGGTAACACGGAAGCTGTGTGTGAATTTCGTGCAGCATTCATACTGCCAGTCGTTGTCCATGTTCCTGTTGATGGATCATACAATTCAGTACTATGTAGATATGCACTACCATCATGTCCACCAGTAACTAATACTTTTCCATTTGGTAATACGGATGATGTGTGGTCATATCGTGCAATATTCATGCTACCAGTGCTAATCCATCCTAAAAGAACCACTTGAATTTATTTAGACTGAAAAGTTGAGTATTCTTAAATGCATAAAATTATCTGTGGGTAAGTGAGTGTTTTAAAAGATTCTTAGATGACAATTGTCTTGCACCTTTAATGCAAAAAGTTTAAACATTGTAGACTACAGCGAAATTTCGAATATTGTTACTCGAAACTCTTTATCCTGTATTAGGGACAAGTGTGAAGTTTTTTATATAGACAACTATTAGAGATTTGCGCTTTCAATTTATTTATTGTATCAATTATATGGATTAGTCTATTTTCGATTGTGTTGTACAAACTCAAGTTACTTTAATAGCAGAATATTGAGTGTATCGAAGAGTGAGAATTGGTTTTCGGTTACATCGAGAGGTCAAAAATGTTGATCCAATTGTAAGTTTCGCGTTTATAATATTGAGACTCTAGCCACAGTTTATAGGTCTTTGTTGAAGAGCGTTTCTTTTAGTTAAAAAACGAGTTACAATTTTTAAATTAAAATTGTTCATGTGCGTTCAATAAAAATAGATAAAATATAAGGCCGCTTTACGAACTCTGCTGCAAATCTGGATAGCACATCATGTGACATTTTACGTTTGGATACTCGAAATAGACATTTTTTTTCAATAGCATCCATATTTTGTACTTATGTAATAGGTAAATAGTGAATTTCCAATAAAAAATACTGTCCTCCAGATCAGAATAAAAAATAGTTGATTTTCTCACTTTAATTTACTTTTTCTAGTTTTTCAAGTGTTTTCTTTTACTAGTCGAAAAATTTCCTCATCAAATAAGTGCTTAATATTACTTCGTTACTATTTCAGCAAATATTTTTCATTCAGTTATCAAAAATATTATCAAGTTAACTCTTTATGTACCTTGTATAGAAAACTACCATCGAGAACCTATCACTCGAGTCACTGTAAGTTTCGAGAAAGAAAAGTACTTTTCAGTTATAATTGCACAATCTCAGTCTCGATCAATCTATAAGGTAGTTTCATACCAGGACTCTACGCAGGATAGGGTGGGACATGAAATTTCCAAGTTCCATCCTATAGGACCTCTCGATTGTGAAATACCTTTTGAAAGAGATAAAATTCATTCCAACACTTATCGTTTGATTTATGCCCACATCTAGGCCACACCCTTGAAAAAATGATTCCCCGATTTTTCGTATTTCTTTAAAAAACTCCGGATTTTACAAGTTTTTCGGAATCTTTCCAGTTTCAGAATTTTAGTTATTTTCAGAATTGTATGTCATTCCAGTTTTACGCTAAGTTTCTAAAAATATTTATTATATTTATTCTAATCAAAATATCTCACATAAAAAAAACAATTTTTATGAAGATCGAAATTTTTTGGGTTGTAGCTTTTCTTAATTTCATTTACGTGCTTGTTTTTTTTTCTCTTACTTAATCACAATGCGAGTTGCAATATATTTGCCTCGAACAGTTCATCAGATTGATACAATTCTATAAGAGCTTACGTATATTACTTTTATTGAATAATCGAGCCAATAAATTTAGTCTTAGAAGTAGGCTTTAGCGAGTATAATAATTATCAGAATATTTTTAACAGTTATAATTCGGTTTTGAGATACTATCATGTGCAAGAATTTCCTATTTTCACGCACCATAGTTAGATCTTTGAAGCTACTATTTCAACTGTTGAAAACTTCATTATACGAGAAAAAGCAGCGTAGCATCTTCTAGAAAACGTCTGACAGTCATCGTTTGATGATGTCAGACGATTTAAGTCTGATTCAAAAGCACTGAGTTTCAATCGATTATATTTTTAAAGTATTAAATTTTTTTGCTAAAAGGTTTGTTTAACGAAGAATTAATCATTTCGTATTTTGTATATTGAAAATTAAAATAAAGGAACTTAACCAATACTTTTGCCATTACCAAGGATACTTTAAAATAAATCTTGCATCTAAAAGTTTTCTCCATGTGTCTGCATTAGTGATGATATAGTCATTTTCTAAGTTTTTTTTTCTTACAGATATCAGAAACCATTATAATTTCATAAATCACGATAAACAATGAGATCTATACATTGAAGATATTCTCAGATATTGTTATGACTATTAAAGTCTATAGGTTTGAGCTGAATTTATCGGTTATTTGACAAAAAAAAGGCGTGAAAGCTGTTCAGAATTATATCAATGTGACAAATATCTCGTCAATTGTTTGCATAGATTATGCAGACAGAAAATTTTCTTAATACTCTGGCTAAGGAAAAACAGCACTTGAAATAATAAGAATTGCATCTAAAATTATTTACTGGATTTTTTCTGGATATCTAACCCACACAGTTGGTAAGACTATTTCCATCACACGCGGAATCCTCTTTCACGCATACATGTTGGTACAGAGATTTGATCAAGTAGTTTGAATACTTGTTTTCGAATTCAGAGAAGTCAAGCATATGAAGGATTTAACGTAAAAAGTTCGAATCTAACCTCGAGAAATGAAATAAGTAAAACCTCATGCTATAAAGTACTAAAAAAGTAAAACCCATGCCACATTTCTGAGACCAAAGTGTTACTATTAAAAGTACTTTTTTCTATATTATGAAAAGTACCAAACGTAATAATATATGAACTTTTTAAGTGACTACTAGTACATATATAAGGAAAAAGTACTTTTCAAACTATACATGCAAAGTAGTTCAGCTACTTTGCATAATAGGAAGTATAGAGACATAAGTACTTTTTGGGATTTTGAGAAGTAAGAGAAAGCACTTCTTTCTTATAAGCAGTTAAATAGTTATTTAAAATGGTTCACTTATGATTACTTTTGAGACTTTATAATTAATCTTCAATAATCCAACAAACTATCATAATGACATACATTGATGAAATTTTGACGCGCTATGTTGGGTCATTAAGTTTCTCACTGTTTTCAACGAGAAAGAACAAACAGTTAGCCAGAAGTCGCTGTAAAAACCTTGAGACTTCCCCGCCGGAAATACTACTTCTAAGTCCCATCGATTTCCAGTATCTTTCTGCCGAAGACGACCCCTATTTCTTGATCTGGATACTCTGAGAAACAGTTGTTCCTTTTATGGTATTGATAATAACTTGCTAAAAATAATCTATCAATGAACAAAAATTTAAGAAATGTTTTTAATCAAGAAAACAATAGATTCAAACACTAACCTATATAGCTGATGTAGATATGACATTTAACTTGATAACAGCATGATTCAAGATGAAGAAAAAAGCAAGGTAACTAATGGTTATGTAAATTATTAAAGCAAGCGAATTCCTCAAAGTAGTTCAAGTCAACAGATATTTTCTTGCCAATTTTATTTTGACTGATTGACATGTGTACTTCGCAAAACTTAACATCAATAATTGAAATCATCCATTGAATCACTTTCAATGAAAAAAACGTGAAATAATCTTGTTTAATTTATCTTATCTTCCTTTCATTCTTATCCTTAACTTGATTTCACGGATTTGCGTTTATCTATCCTTAATGTTAGTATTACTGTATTATAAGATTCATTCAATTGTCCATTTTCGAAATCAAATCAAACCTCAATTACCATATATATAAATTATTTTAGTTGATTTCTATACAATAAAAAATATGAGTAAAGTCTGCCTTTACCTGATATACAAAAATTCATCGATATCAATGGTAAACATACTGTTTGTGATGAACAGCATGAATTAACAATGCATACCGAAGTACTTGATGCACAGGTATAGGTAATATTGTTACATGGTTCCAAAATAGAACACAAAATACCAGGCGCACAATAGCTAATATTGTTGAGTGTACGATAATCGTAACAAGGCGTTGATGACAAACGACAGCTATTATTATTCTTGGAGTTTACATGACATTGTTGTAAAGAACAATTTAATGTTGGTTGCCAAGCAGAATGAGGCGACAAAGATAATGAAAATTGGATAGTATCATTATTTTCATTACAATAGTAGTTAGGTGTTGCTGTACTCTGGCCTAAATATTGTTTATACTATAAAAGAATGAAATGAGAAAAAATAAGTCAGCAAACCTTGTACACATGTTAAGAAACTGCTGAAAAACAACACTATTACAAATTGCATGATTTCTGTGTAATGAAAGACCAAAAGAAGTGCGTAGAAGTATTTTTGTTTTTCTCTGCTTTCTCTTCAGATGAATCATTCTGTGAATTTGTTTCGATGTTCACACATTCCCTTAAGATAAATAAACTAGAACAAACATTTAAAATAGCATTAACGAAAGTATTTTTTTTTGCTTTCTTCTACAAATAAAAATCATGGCCCGTCTCTCATCAAAACATACTTCGTCACCAATATAAAGAAACTGATTTGTTGGCAATAAAAAACGAAAAACTGACCTGAAATAAAAAAATTTTTACTGCCTAATTATATACTTTCATCATTTCGAAATAAATTCGATAAAAAGAAGATCAAAATGATAGATTATTTTGAATGTTTTTCACCATTTTATTAGATTGTATGAAAATTTTTTTTTTCTAAGAGATAATTGTTAAATTTACATCTAAATTATTCAGTCATTGAATGAGTGTATTAATAATATAAAAAAATATATGCTGTATTTAAACAAAGTTTTCGTTGAGATCTTCCAATTCATGTGTTACTTAAAGTCCTCTTCATTTTAACTTGTTTATTTTTCAAATAAAAGATTGTTTGATTCATTCATCAGTTTTGTGATAAAATTTCTACAATAAATTTTTTAGTTCTTTCTTAAATATGGGCTATATTTTTCAAAGAATGTTTACTTTCAATGACGTATTTACCTCTGATATAAAATATGGAAGACAAAAAGTTCTTTTGGCATTCGATTTCAATATTTGTTTGTGTATTATTGAGAATTTTATACGAATATTCATTGTTTATTTCTTAGATGCTGACTTGTAAATAAATCACATAGTTTTATTCAATTTTTGTTTCAAAATTCATTTTTATCGATGTGAAGTTAGCAGAATATGATTGA